AACCAATGCCTGACCCAACCAAAGACCTACCCTATGTGAGAGCACCAACCTCTGACACTAGGAACTCTATTCTGTTAAGCTTGCAAACAGGAGACGGACAGAGTTGTTCTCTGTCAAGTTCTTAATAATAATCTGTTACCAGATTCTGGCTATTACAAATAAAGCTGCTATCAACATAACTGAACAATGTCCTTATTGAATGGTGGGGCATCCTTTGATTATATTCCCAGGAATGGTATAGCTAGATCTTGAGGTAGTGCTATTCCTATTTTCTGAGAAAGAGCCAGATTGATTTCCAAAGTGGCTTCACAAGTTTGCACTCCCACCAGCAATGGAGGAGGGTTCCTCTTTCTCCATATCCTCTCCAGCTTGTGTTGACACTTGAGTTTTTGATCTTAGCCATTCTGATTGGTGTAAGATGGAATCTCAGAGTTCTTTTGATTAGTATTTCCCTGATGACTAAGGATGTTAAGCATTTCTTTAAGTGCTTTAAAATTGTATTATTTTGTTTGTTCGTCTAATTTCTTAACTTTTTTTTTATATATTCTGGATATTAGTCCTGTATCCGGTGTCGGGTCGGTGAAGATCTTTTCCCAGTCTGTAGGCTGCTGTTTTGTTCTGCTGACAGTGTCCTTTGTTTTACAGAAGCTTTTCAGTTTCTTGAGGTCCCATTTATTAATTGTGTATCATAATGCAGGAATGAATACAGAAATTGTGATACATTTACACAATGTAATGAAGCAGACATTCCACTGGACCTGAGGTGGTCACATACATGCAAATCATGATGACTTGCTCTTCTTATTGTTTTCAGCAGACACCTCCTGTTTGGCTTGGTTAAGTTTCCTTCTTTGCTTGGATAAGTTTCTTTTGGATGTTGTCAAGGAATAACCTTGTCTTTGATGTTAAGGTTGTTATGGTTACGTGGAAAGTCCTTAGTGGTTTACTTATATAAGTGGCTTACTCTGTAATAAAGATGACACCTTGATCAGAGCACTGTCTTGGTATCACTCCTTCGTTTTCTCTGTCTCTTTTAATTCCCAGCCCCTTGTGCAGGCGGTTACTATTGGTGGTCGTGGGTGACTACAATGGAATACTAGTTAGCTATTAAAAACAAGGAAATTATGAAATTTGCAGGCAAATGGATGGAACTAGAAGAGATCATCCTGAGTGAGGTAACCCAGAAACAGAAAGAGAGGCATGGTATAGGCTCACTAATAAGCGGATATGAGCCATATAATATAGGGCATCCATCCACAGACCTAAAGAAGCTAAACACTAAAGAGGACCCTAGGGAGGATACTTAAATCTCATTCAGAATATCAATTAAGATAGACAGCAGAAGCGGTGGAAGAGAGGAAACAGATGGAAATCTAATATAGAGGGTCCTGTGAAAGGATTCATCCAACAGGAGATTGAAGCAGATGCTGAGACTCAGGGCCAAATTTTGGGCAAAGAGCAGGAGTCTTACCGAGGAAGAAAGTGTGGTGGGGATAGAGGGAAATGGAGGGGGCAGGAGCCCCACAAGGAAACCAACAAAACTAAAAGATCTGAGCCCAGGGCATCCTGCAGAGTCATCATGATTTGTGCCAAGGGAACACCATATATGATGAGGATCTAGACCTCCTGCTCAGATGTGGCCTATTGGTAGCTCAGTCTCTATGTGGATCTCTGAGTGAGGGGAGCAGGGGCTGCCTCCATCATGAACTCAGTTGACTGTTCTTTAATCAGTCACCTCTTATTAGCCTTACCAGGCCATGGAGGAAGAGAATCCAGGCAGTCCTGAGGAGACTTAACAAGCTATGTGGAGATGGCAAATAGTGGAAAACTCCCACTTTCAGTGGACTAGGGGAAGGGGATTAGGGGAAGAGGAGGGAGGGTGGACCTGTGGGAGTTGAGAGAGGGGCTTCAATTTTGATGTATAATGAATAAATTGTGAAGAAAAAAATAAAAATTGAAATAGTAGTAGTAGTAGTAGTAGTAGTAGTAATAATATTCTGTTATCAAGCAGGCAATAGGTGGAGAATTAGCACGTCCTACTGGAAGGAGATTTAAATATAGGTATAAAAGTTAGTAGAGAGTGGGAGAAGGCTGTTAAAGTGGGTTTATATTTTATAGCTAATTAATCACATCCATACATTTTTGGTATTATGTTTTTCAGATATATATGCTAAAATATCTTCTACCAAATTCCATTTAAGCTTTTATCTTTTCTTGGCTTATTTTCTGGATTAATACTGCCTCCCATCAATGAAAAAAACAATTGACTTTAATTCTATCAGCAGATCCATAGATGTCCCATTTTATATGTTCACTGTTAATTATCCATTTTCTGATGAATATTAAATGGGCGTTTGTCATGACTTTTGACCAAGGTTCCTAAGTGCAGACAGCGATGAGAGACATCCCAGACACCACTGCTTAGACATATTGATTTTGGCCAATGCATATCACTTAAAACTCAGTAAGTTGTAACTACATTTACTTTCATTACGCTATGAAATAAATAAAATGGTCTTTTCTCCAAATAATGTTTGTCCAAATAATAATAATATGATCTGTTCATCACTCTACTGTTTTTATATTTTTCCTCTTTTGAATCATTATTCCCCTACACATATTTTGGTGGAAATTGTGGTCAGGGTTTGAGAAATGATGTTTTCCATTTTGCAGATATTTCAGGGATGAAGTGGGTGAAGTTGGGTCCAGTAAAGTGACATTCAACAGGTACTTATATGGTAGTATGTCAACAGTGTAGCATACAACAGATTTCATACGACATGTATGATTCAGAATGTAATTTTAAGTTATCTTAAAATAGCTCTACCTTCCTTCCTTCCTTCCTTCCTTCACTCCTTCCTTCCTTCCTTCCTTCCTTCCTTCCTTCCTTCCTTCCTTCC